CAACCATGATACAACCGTCTCTACGAAGTTACTTTGTTCTGTGGTTTTTAATGCACACACTTCATCATACAGCATTATTCTCAGATGTTTTTTTTAGTTTTTCCTATTTGAAGCCAAGTTACTTCCTAAAGCTTCTGTGACAATGTTTGCACACAAATTAGTACAAAGAAGTTGGAGGAAGGAGGAATGAAGGAAACTGAAAAAAGGAGCTTGAAAAGCAAGCTAAGCCACACACTGCTCCTGCACATCTTTTCGCTTATCTTAATAAGTAATGAGGCTGCCACAGGCTGACAATGAAGTATTTTGAGAATAGTTCTAATGTATGGCTGTGAAAGGAGTGGCTGGGCATTGATGTATGGCACAAACAGGCCTGGAAACAAGTGAAATATTAATGGGCTGTTTCCCAGGAGTTAATGTGGGATTTACCTGATTGCTTTAGTGAGAGACAGGGGCTCGGATGAAGGCCGTAGGATGGCAGGACAGGCAGATTAAAGTGTATGGATTATTTTGTAAAAATCGCCAGTTCTGCCACTTTCAGCCAAATGTTCAACCTAAACTGATGAAGCACTGTTTTAATTGGTAACATTTAAAATAAGTATTTCCCCCCTAATTAAGCAACATTATAAGACTTTTATTTCATTCAATGAGAATAATTTGACTTTTTTATCATTTCAAAATAGCAAAAGAACGGCTTTTTTATTATTGTACCAATGAGAAACAGAATACACCACCAGGGAGCAGCAGTGTTAAAGGAAGAGAGGTCATTGGGTTGGTGAAAGAGGAGAACGGTGGAGTTCTGCTGCTGTTGCTGTTTACACCATGTTCATATCACACATTAAAGATATCTATTAGGTCACTCCACAACACAATTGATGTATTTTTCATCTGAGAGGCTTGTGTGCCCTTCAGGTCCCATCACTTCAAACAGTTAGAAGTTGGTGATAGCAGGTTAGCCATAACGCATACACATACAGACAAATACATAAATAATAAATGAAATTAAACAATTCCTTAGTAGTTTCTGAAAAATAAATTTGTTAGCTTTTGTATTTCTCTGTGAAGTTATAATTTGAGTTTGTTTATTATTAATAATAATATAATTTTAACATAAGAAGTATTTATATTAATCTTTTTAATATACAAATATGCTTTAAATAAATGTACAGCTATGGTGGGTCAATGTCAAGTTTATTTATTTTTAGTTATTCATCGATTTTAATTGTTTATTAAATCATCTAATTTAAATAAGTCATTAAACAGGTAGGAACAAAGAAGATCTATAGTTTTATTAACACTTGCCTACAATTAATGCAAACCTTCTACCCGCAAATTAAAAAAAAAAAAAGCTACCACAAACATATTTTTTTGCTCAGCTTCTTTTGACAGGAATAGTAAAAAGGCTTTCTGTTCCAATGGTATGGTAAGAGTGGGCGTACAGTAATAGTTTAAGTGCCTTCCCCTGGAGAGAAGGCCTAAAACAACACTGACGCACAGAATTAAAAAGTTCCGTTCGAGAACGGCAGTGGCATCGCTGGATGCTTGGAAATGCCATTCAAGCACTGGAAAGGTCAATAGTTATAATAACTTTTGTTAGAGGAAAAAGAGAAGTTGGCTGTTCTGTCACAAATTGCTTCCAGATTCTTTCTTCCTTTTCTGGGGCAAGTTATTACCAAAATTGAGTGCAGAGACTGACACCATTTTAGTAAAATCATCCATTTCTCTTTGATGTGTGCAACGAGTGCTCTCCTAAATTTGAAACATGGCCCTCGTTTTTCGTCCATTTACCCACTTCTCTTTTGTTTCATGTATGGAATGAGTGTCCCTCTGGGAATTCTTAGTGCATGTGGTAAAGAAGGATTTTTGATTGACGGAAAATTGCCCAGTATTTCAAACAAATGACCTAGTTTTCCGTGGCCTCATCACATGGGTTCCTGTCTGATGTTACTTAGGAGAAATCATGCATTTAGTGCATATCTGTTCAGCACTGCAGATTTTAACCGTTGATAGGCAGCAGCTGTGACAGCTTGGTATAAGTTTTTTAACCAGTCATAATTGTGATGAGTATTTTCTTTTAGGGGGTTGCAGTTTTTCTTATTACTGTGCTGTAATGTGAAATGCATGTGGTAATTGTTAAAATAATTAATAATTAGTTTTTGTCCACATACATCAGGTCAATTTAGAGAAGATTTTAATTTTGATCACTTTCTCCAAACTTTAAATCACTCACATGGATAGTAAAGTGCTCTTTTTTAGAACGTGAAGCTATTCCCGCCATACAAACCCTTAAAGTCATACAACAGTTGAATCATTTTTATTAGGCCACATTAAGTGAAGCTGAGTTTTTCATCTCTAGCTAAGCTGTCAAAGTGGTTGGGGCTTTAAAATGTTAAATATGTTTACCGATGGAACACAATTGTGGTAGGTTGCAGTAATACACTTTAAATGGTACTCAAAACAAAACGCAGAGGTGAGGTAGAGGAACAGAGGAGAGAATTCAATAAATTAAACATCTAAAACATCAATTTAGCTTTTTGTCTGCTGTGTATGCACAGTTTTAGAAGTCAGTACAATGTGGTGTACAATTCAAAATGCTGAGGTGTATATTTGTGATGCTTTGTGTTTGTCTTGACCTGTGTGTTAGGACTAAATAGACTTGGTTCTGTAGTGATTAATGTGTGTCTGTTACAGTGATTATACACTGAGCACGTTTACATTAATTATAAACAATATTGTTCAGTTTCACTCAAACTTAACCTGTGTTTATAGCACCACCTAGGGGAGCAATTTGGACATTTTGCTTTATACAAAGTGAGACAGCTGTTACATATTTGCTCTTTAATTCAGTTGATTTTTATTAAAGCCTTTTGGTTGCAAAGCATCTCCTCATGGAGTAAATATTTACTGTCTACACGGTCACATCCATTAGTAGATAACCCTGTAGGTAAACACTGGCTTACAGTAGGAGTCTGTGCTGTGTTTATCTTCACAGTGTGCTGCTTCAGTAAGGGCTAATAATATGATCTTTTGCCCTTGCAATAATTTTTATTTCATTTAAAAAAATATCTGCATAAACTTCTATTTTATTAGCTGATATAACCTGCTATTATATCCTGTCCAAAGGTCCCATTTGTCAGCCTGAGGCTTTTCCCTATGTTCTCAATAGTGCTGCTTTAAATGAAAAGCAAATATTAATATTCGCTGGTGTTACTTTGGAATGTAAAATATGGGAGGCCCTGTCAGGGAGGTGAGATGCATTCCTGGCTGAATGACACATTTACGCTCCTTCTCTGGGCAGTCTTGTTTTTCAAAGGTCCCTCAGATGTTCATCACTGACCAAATGTCAGCTTCCTGTTTTTGTGTGTTATAAAAGTTGTAATCAAAGTAGGCTGGTATAAAAAATTAAAAAAAAAACCCTTGTTTTTTTAATGACTCTAGGTGAAAGAGCTTTGAGCATTTCTATTTTGTATCAGCATAAGGCGGTTTTTAGAGAAGCAACGTTCATTACCTGAAGTGATAACCTTATTTACAGCCTTTTATTGAAAGCACAATCATTCATCCACCGCCAGCAATATAGTTTTCGTGATTTTTGCTGATCCGTTAACACAATTTTCTTTTTTTATCAAAGTTTGACAAATTTGTTCAATAATTTAGATCCGTTGCTTAAAGCTACAAGAGCGAAGACAGAAAAACTGGTTAGTATTGAAGTGTTCTTATGAGAAGTAGTGAGAGTATGCTGTGTAATTTCAGTGGGATGGATGGCCTTCACATCACTGCCCTCACATTAGGAGGCCCATTACTGCATGGTGAGATGAAAGAGTCCTGGTAAATATGAAATGGGTGGTGCAGGGTGACATTAATAGAGTTAACCCAAGGACAGGGTGGGATCAAACGAGCCTCAACCATATTAAGCAATCTGTCTGTGTCTGATTGAAGAGAATGGCAGTGTATCCTGTTAACACACTGTTGTGTTGAGAGAGTGAGATGAGTAGAGAGAGAGAGAGATTGATGGATGCTTCATTTGACTCCTGATCAAGATGCGTGTCGCAAAAAAAATACACATACATATGCACATTTGTTGCTACTGTCAGCTCCTTTTTACACCAGCATTCTGTACTCTTTGTATTTTTGCAGAGCAGAGACTTGTCAGACACAAACCTCCACTTTGCATTTTTGCAGTGTTGAGGCAGCGGAGGCAGGCACTGGGAGCTCGTGAGCGTATGGTCTTTAATTAGATTCATTGTAGCGTAGGTTGTTTACCGTAACCCCTCCCTTCACCCCATGCTCCTGACAGCACCTCTGAAATATGGCACATTTGCTTGTTGGCTGTCTTCAACTTTGCTGTCCAGATTTAAAAGCATATTGGTGTTTATGCACTGAGAGCTATAATGATCCATCATACCATGTGGACCAGAGGGCCGGGTCCTCTGCTCCACATAAATAAATGGCAATTTGGCCATCTGCTTGGATTCTTTCTGTCTCCCTGGAGACCCCCATCTGCCTTTACATTATCAATTACAGTTCAGCGATGCTGCCACCCCCCTCACCCCCCCCCCCCCGCTCCCACTTACTTCAAACACTGCAAACATACACAAGCTAACATATTACTAGCATCACATCTACTCTGCAATACAAAAGAATGCACCTTTGCAATTTATTGAATCTAAGTAGGTTTTTTAAATAATCAATAAGAGTTTGTAGTCCTGCAAAAAAATAAAAATAAAATAAATATATATTTTTATAGTTATCAGTTAAACAAATGCAAACAGATTTTTATTTTTTAGTTTTTTTCCAATCTTAAAGAGAATTAATGCTACAATTTCACGAGAGAATTTACCTGTCAGTAGTACTGTTTATGCCTCTTTACCTGTTCTGCAGTTTAATTTGACTGTTCAGTTGAGACCAATTAGATAAGTAATGTTCAGATGTTTCATTTTGTCCTACGCAATATTATATAGTGTGATGTGTATTTTAACAAAATTTGTTTTTGTTTTTCTGCACAGTGCGGTGTTCTGCAGCTGATGAAGTTTACTCCCACAAATTGATGCAGAGAAAAACCTTCCACGGTTTCCAGGAAAAACCATCGAAATTCTCAGGGAAACAGGTATGTGTGGGAAGTGGACCCATGTCAAGTCCACAGTTCCTCATTAATATGGAAACAGGTGCTTTTTTTGCTGAGTTCATAAGCAGTTCACTAGCAGCCTGGAAGAAGTGCACTTTACAAGGCTGTTCAAAGATCTTTGACATCTGAGGAGAGCTGGTGAAGCCAATAATCCTACTTTCAGAATGTGAGTCTTTTCTCTGAGATCAATCTCAGATCGAAACATCAAATAGAACTGCTGCTTTTTCTCTTTTTAAACCCCCTCCTCCCCTAACGAAAAATCACTTACTAGATGGTATTAGACAAGCTGGCAAAAGTGTCATTACCGCTGGGAAGAGAGGATGGATAGATTTCCTTCAAACTCTGGAATATTCTTCAGTAATTCAAGTCCGTAGTTAGGAGTGCAGCATTACTAATAAAACTTGATCTGGGTCCAGCTCCATGCCCATGGGCCCAGAGAGAAGCAATTCACGAGAGTGGGCTTTCATGTTCATTTATGTATGACAACAAAGCCGGGATTAGGCCCAGTCCTTTCATCCACCAAGCATAAGACCAGTATTTTTATTTTTTTACCCACCCCCTGGGAAGGTTCTGCTGTTGCCTGAAGTCATTTTAGAAGTGTCATAACCATGTCGCTTTTTGTAGGTTTGCTGACCCCCCCGCTTGTGAAATCTGTGTGTGTATGTGAAAAATACCTCAACAGAAGTGACAACAATACATCACAAAAAGCTCTCTAAAATTATCTAACTTTACTAGAATATATTTTTGATCATATAAAGACCCCTTAATTTAACTTAGTTGTGCTGTTTATTTAAAATGAATTTTCTGTATGTACTGATAGGCAATGAGATTAATTATTTGTTGCCTGATCTGTAATCTGTACAGATTATGATGTTTATTCTGACAGCCAATTGTTTAATCTGTAGGTATTGATGCCATCATTTCTGGAGGCAAGAGTGGGTTCAGGTTAAATCCTAGATATGCACGGAATCATGTTTCATTTGTCTCTAAGGTTTATAAGTAGATTACCTTTTGTAATTCGTTTTGTTACACCAGTCAATAAGCGTCCAATGCAAATGTGGTTCATTTGTATTTGAATTGATGTCCTGTCCCCATTAACTTATGCCTCTAATGCATTCTGGTACATTAGTAAATAGACCTACTGGATTAATCATTAGTTCATTGGGATCATTTGCCTTCCTCGTGCTTTAATCGAATCTCTGACATTGGTAATAAGGGCAGACTTCACCTGCCTCTTTGGACATTCGAAAAACAAAGAAGAGTAATTTCAGGGCCCACGTTATTGTCTTTCGTTTGTTTATATGTTGTTTGTTGTATTTTCCTTTCAGAAGCTGCCACATGTGAACAGTTAGTACAGAAACTGATCAGTTATTTGCAATTTGTTCTCATGTGCCTTTTGTTGCGTTTACCTGACATTTAGAATTTTTTGAAGTGATCAAAAGTTTTACTCTCTTTTGATGGACCTTCTCCGTCTCACACTGATGGGGATAATTAATGGGTTTCATGTCTTAAGAATAAAACCTCTAAGTAGCCTTTCCACCCATTACTTATTTAGTTCAAGTTAATTGAAGTAAACCTTGGTTGATACAAAGGTTGGTGTCCCTTTGCAAAGAAGTCGATCGTCCTTGACTTCTGAAAGGCCAACAATTTGGAGTAGAAAATGGATAATGTGTGTTTTATATATATATATATAAAATGTTAAATATCAGTGACTTTTTCTCAATGTATTGTTTTGAATACATTCAGGAAAACATGATTGCTGATGATCTTTTTGAGCAACCTGTAACGTCAGACAGGCAGATTCATTTTTCAACATTTAATGCATTGCAGTTCATGCTTAGTTGCTCTTATAGGGATTTTTTTAGATGTCTTGAATAAATAGGAAACGATTTCTCTGTGAGGCACATGACGGTGAATAAAATGCTATATAATAAGCCTGAGGTGAGTTTCAGCCCATGCACTAAAAGAAAACATCCAACATGTGAAGATTTACAGCAGCATTGGCAGCCGAGTCGTGTGTCGGTAAGGCCTTATATCAACGTTCTCTGAACCAACTGCCCAAACAATCACAACTTGTGCGCTTCCTTTGTTTTTGAAATATCCCCAAAATACGTCCATCTTCTTAATGGATCTTTTTTTTTTTTTTTACAACATGGGTCTGAAAATAGCAACAGAAGGCCGCACAGGGCCTTAAAAAGCAAGATTAATAACCCTGTGTAGATGATCTCATAGTTAAGTGTTTTCTGTTGTATTTACACACGCACCCAGACTGTCAGGCTTCTGCTCGTCTCTGAGAAATGGAACCGACACATCCTGACACTAATGCATCACTGGGAATATTTGAAATGAATAAAGCCCATGTTTTCCAGCAGCGCAGAGAGGAAAGGAGCCGGAGAGACATTACAAACACTCCATTTGACATTGACACAATGGTGCCTTTGCTCAATGCAAATACTGTTATTCTCCCTCATCCAACTCCCCCCTCCCCCCAATCCTTCTTTTGATCAAGGAGTCACAGAGGGGAAAAATCTCCTGCACTCAGTGCAAACTAATGAGACATATTAATGATATAAAGCACTTAATTCGATGCATGTATAATTCATAATAATTGATTACTCTGCTTTGAAGGGCTACCTTTTGTGAGAAAAAATGATCCTATTAAGGCAGGTTTAATCCTTAAGCTAAGCTGTCAAAACAGCCAGCACTTATTGCATTTTGAGCTGGTAATTGTCAAGCAGCTCAGATTGATTATTCACATGTAGGAGGATAAGATTAATCAGTGATTTTCAGTGGTGTAATAAAGGTATATCACAGAAATTCCCACTTTTAAATGATTCTCTTAACAACATAGCCACAGGGCTGTATTAACTGAACGGATGAATTTAAAATAAATATTTCCATGCTGATTATTTAATCTGAAATATCAAGTTAATATCTCTCTCTACCGTAATATTCTTCTGTCTTCAGTTCACACTCCAGTGAAACCAGTCTGTCATTTCATACATACAGTAGCTAGTGACCCCTCATGTCAACACGGGAAATTACAAATACAGGAATTTCTTCGTTTTTTTACGTCCTCGACCTACAGCGTTACATGGAAATGTCGCCACCACCCATAAATTTATTAAGAAAGTCTTGTTAAAACAAATGTGCACCAGAACTAGTTGGCGAGTGAAGCAGACAAATTTACTTGGTTGTTTTTTCTGGCTAAGGACAACACTTCAAAACGACTGTAACAGAGAACCAAAACTTAAGATGTGCCTCTTTAGTTTGTTTTCTTACCTTATAATCATTATCATCAACATTAGGATTAGAGTGTCTGATAAAATGATGAAAATCACGTCAGCATGCATAAATCATTCTTATAACATACAATACTTGAAACCACTAATGAGGAACATGACTGTCCTCTATGAACATTCAGCTCTAACCTACTATTATAATCAGAGCAGTGTTTGAATTAACCTGGCTTTATTGTCGTCTATGTAACCCAAACAATCTGTGTTTGTTATGCTAACAAGGCTAATGTTATCATTTTTCATTTTAAATTGTAATGCTTGACTTAAATTCCCAATGTGCTTCAGCTCACATTGTCATAACAATATGACTATTCTGGATTTTGATTGTCTTGTTCCTTTGACCTTGTTACTCAGACATTAACGTCCTGCTCTGTCCTTTATTCTAATCATGTAAAGTCATAGGTCTGACCTGTGGAAGGTGTTGGACTCTAACCCACTCTGCCCCCCCTTTTTTTTCACTGAGAAAGATCACGAGCAGAGACAGGTTTTATCTGACTTTTTGTTTAGATGACAGAAAAAAGGGCTTCACAATCAGGCCTGTTTGAGTGAAGGTGCTCTGGGTGTTGATGTTCATCAGGGTCTATTGTTGGGAAATGACAGGTTGGATCCTGACCTGTATTTGCTGTTTTATGAACATATGTTTTCTAAAATTACAGGCTTTGTGGAGAATCTACAGAGAATCAAATGTATCAGCCTAGTACTGTATATGTGGACACCAACGGTAGATTTATCAGTAAAGCGCAGAATGGCTTCTGTTTTCCAACAGCTACAATTGTTTTAAACTATCAGTTTCTGAATTACATATTTATTCAGAAGGCGTTTGATTTAAAGAGAATACACAATGGAGATCTGAGGCAAAATAGACAAATGTTCTGCATTAGAACCTTACATATACTGACTGTTGATCCTTATCTTTGGGAGGATGGTATTATAACCTGGTAATTTTGTTTTTTCCCCTTTCCATATTAAGACAAAAAAGCTTTATATGTTACTTTTTACATCCAAACATATTTTTCGCTACAGCACATCAATGATTCTCTGCAACTAATAGTCTTAATTATATACAACAAAATACCATGAATTCATGCATTTAGATGAGTCCGTGGTCCTTGCAGGATAAAGATTTCACTCTAAAGTATTTCAGTCATGAAATCTATGCTGATGACAGTGATGCCTGTGGCTCAGAGTGATGTAAGGGCCCCTGCAAAGCATTGGTGCATAGCATTTAAACCAGGCCAGGAGATTTTGATAAATAAGAATTGAATTTAATTCCAGCTGTGACATGTTGATTGATCAAAAAGCTTATAGCTAAGGCTTCCCTCCTCTCCAGCCTTATTTATCCTTCGTCAAATGGTTTCAAAATCAATACAAGGCTTGTACACAAACCTTTCTGCTGCGGGCGGGTTGGGTGATGGGTGGGTGCGAGAGGGAGGAAAAAACACCTGCTCTCTTAGTGATTGTTACTAATTTTTCCTGTCAAACACTTGAACACAAAATAATTATTTGCCTTGTAGTTTCAGGGCAGGGCAGATTATTGTACGATCTGTTCAGGTAACTTCTCAGAAGGGTTGGAAAATGTAACCGCCTCAAACCAAACATCAGGCTTAGGTGATCTTATGGTCCGCAGCTCAGACCAGAATCCCTGTGTTGCAGTTAAAGACGTGTGTCACTCCATCCAACAGA